TGTTTCACTAAAACCATCGCTTAACCTTAAATTTCCTAAATCTCCTAAATCTAAAACCAATTAACCAATCTATACTTGATGGACTTGGCATTTTGTCTAAATGATCTTAACCCATCAGACCATAACCCACCACAATAATATTTAGAATCATGCTTGACCCATGGTCAAACCCCCTTAACCATGGTCAACCTTAGTCTTACCAAAAGGCTCAAATGACCCATCTTAGGTTCACTTGCACCAAACATAAGAAAAACTATTCTAAACCCTCTCAAACTTTGCTTAAGCCAAGCTAAGATCCTAAAGTAGCTTCTCTAGGTGACCCAACCCACTTTGGTTAGCCCATGTGAGTCAAACCCTTGACCTATGCTAATTAAACAAAATCTAAGCTAATCAAGCCCAAATCAGGTTGGCTCAAGTCCTCAATTACATTCCTCGGCTATTATTTGGTTTACCCTACTCAGTAGGCTAACTAGCAATAGCTCGAATAGCATATAATATCAAAATAACCTGTTACATTTAATCACTTGCTCAAGCTCCCTTAAGCAATGAGAATGACCAAGGTCCAGGGACACTTTTCCCACTCCCAATGGATAATCCCTAATGGTATTTAAAGTTGGGATGACTGCCAATGGCTAGAATCTCATCTAGGTACAATTTTAGTTTTCTTATAAATACAACCTACTCATGCAATTTTGGCGTGTGAAAAGAACTCTCTAGCTTCCCCATTGTACTACTAAGGGTTCTCAACCTCTTCCATCCCTTAGCCGCCTTTTTATAAGTGTAAACTCCAAGCTTTGGTAGCCCTTATTCTATGGATTCACTTCAAGCAATCCAACCATCCTCAAGTAAAGCAACCTTCATCTAACCTACTCGTCTTAATCAGGTGAAGCATCAAAACAATCAAATTAATCTAAAATCCATTGGATATAGATATATAAAACTTCCCCCAATCAAGTTTTTGAGTTTCACACATTATAAATTAAAGGTGAACCTCATGGCAATCAGACTATTGGATCACCTGATCTGAATGTTCTAAGCTTTCTTGATCCACTAGATCAATAAAACCCTCCATATCATTCTAAATTAAAGCCAAGAACGTAGATAGCTTCTGTTCTGTTCTAGAAAGAGGATGACATGATCATTGTCCATTTCACATATATTGAAATGGATGGTGATGATTTGGTTGAATCAAATCTAAGATATCAAAAAGAGTTTTCTACTTGGTAGATGTGAGTCTTATAATTTAAATGCAATTAATATTTATGATTGTGTAAATCACAAATACAATCATCTATGTTGATTGTGTAATGGATATTTGGATTAAAAAATTAAAATAAAAGGACAAAACTTTGAAAATTCATAGATATTGTCTCTTAATCAAATTTGACAATTAAATCTTATTTGATTTTAAAAAATGAGTAGAATCCAATGAGCATAGTTTCAAATAAATTTGAATCTTTTTTTAACTTATTTTAGGTTGAATGCAAAGGATTAATAATATAATTACCATCCTTAATCACCTCTAATTTCCTTCCAATTTATATGGAATAATCTGATCAAAACATTTCCTCCTATATCCTTATATCTTTATTTATGTTTTTTTTAAATAGATTTAAAATTATTTCTTTATTTTTATTATTTAAGTTTATATTTGCCATATATTGCATATTATATTCAAATGTTATGCACAAATCAATATAAAGCATAAGTCCATTAACTTCAATGTTTTGTAGGCATAATGCATAATAAAAATAAAAATCAATCTATTAAATTTTCAAGAACAAAAGGCTACTTCACTGTCAATGTCCATGCATCTCATAAATTATTGAGATCAAATTTTGGGGAGATAAATCTTTGGTATCTTATAAGTTTCTATGTTTATAAAGCATATAATATCTTCAAGAATAGCAAAGTTTTGATTTAAGTTTGTTACTTTCAAGTTATTTTGGGCTAGCTTTGATTTAACAAGATTCATTGGATTCAAATCATGTGAATTTTTTGTACAAACTAGAAACTATTTCAAGTTGATTCAAAATCAATTCATTTAGAACATAAACAACAAGAGTTAATCAATCTTCGAGTCAAATTTGAGTTTGAACTCAAAACATTTCAAGTAGAAATCATGTTAGCTCGAACTCAAGTCAGCTCCATCCCTATATTATAACACGAAAAAGATTATGGTTGAGATAGGCTATTTAAAGGGCAAGTGATGTAGGTAATCGATAAAGGAAGCTTCTAGCAAGTAATGAATAGAACAGTAATAGTAACAGGGTAAGGAATGCTTAGCAGCAAACTATATAGTGTATTTCTTCTTGTATGAAAAACCTCCAAAGCAATACAGCTATTTGTATAAGGCTAAAGGACTAGTAATAACAAAGTTGACAAAAAGCTAAAATGTACTAGCAACTACTAAAAGGGAAATGCAAGTAGTGGAGAGTCAACTAATAAAGAAATAATAAGACTAAAATATAACCGAATGGTATAATATTCCTTGTGGCTTAAGATGTTCGGCATCAGGACTCCCCCGCCGGCGAGGAGTATGCTATCTCAGCAGAAATAGATGTTTGTGCCTCATCTGATCGGTAGTAAGGGTGAAGATCGGCCACATAAATGTAGAAGCTATACCGAATTCGAGAGGTAAATCTATGATGTATGCATTATCATTAATCTTTTGTAAGATGGGAAATGGGCCAACCTTACAATGACCCAATTTAGAGTAGGTGCCAGTAGGTAGTCATTCACGGAGAAGGCGAACCATAACTAGTTGACTAGATTTAAAGAGTTTCTCTCGGTAGTGTGAATCAGCGGCCATCTTATAATTTTTATTAAAAGAGAGTAGCTTGAGGTATATGTCTTATAGCACTTGAGAAAACTGATCAACCAATTGGGCTGCATGACGGTTGTGAAATTTGGGTAGAATAGCAACATCAACAGTGTGATTTGGCAACTTAGTGTAAACAATATGAAATGGAGAAGTACCTGTCAATCAATTTGGCATGTTGTTGTAGGCGAACTCCACTTGACCCAATAGCTCATCCCAAAGGTTGGGATGTTCTTGCACTAAACACCTCAACATGCTTCCCAAAGTACGATCCACTACTATGGTTTGCCCATTCATTTGATGGTGGTAAGTGAAGCTTAGATTAATGTCAGTTTTGAGCCTTTTCCATAATTCACGCCAGAAATGGCTAATAAATTTAATATCCCTATCGGAGGTCAAACTACGTGGAATGCCCATGTAAACAGACTATCTCATTGAAAAACAAGCGGACAATGTTAAGGGCTTCAAATGTTTTTTTTTTTTTTGCAAGCAATAAAGTGTGCCATTTTAGAGAATCTATATACTACGACTATGATAGAATCATTACCTCACTTCATTCTAAGCAGCCCGAGGACAAAATTAAGACTAATATCCTCTCATATTATGTCAGGAACTGGCAATGGAAAGTATAAACGTATATTTTTTTTATCACCTTTATAAGATTGGCACACTAGGCAGCGCTTGATGAATCGGGTAACATCTCGGCACAAATGCGGCCAGAAGAAACGGAGTTGTATTTGCTCTAGAGTCTTCTCTCGGCCCACATGAGAGGTAAGGCCACATCAATGGATCTCCTGAATAATCTCTAATGACGCCACGATGAATCGAGAATACAAAGAGCATTTTGTTTGAACAAATAGCCATGCCGAATGGAGTATTGACCCACAGAATTATTTTCCAAGCAATCAGCCCATATTTTTTTGAAGTCTTTGTCGGACTCATATATATTCTAAAGACATTGGAGACCAATAATTTCTGTGTTAAGCTGAGTCAAGAGAGTGAATTTTTGGCTCAGTGCATCGGTGACTCTATTTTTTGATCCAGACTTGTGTTTGAGAACAAAAGTAAACCTTTGCAAAAACAAGATCCATCAAGCATGCATTTATTGAGTGTTTTATGATTGTTAATATACTGTAATGCCTTATGATCACTGTGTAAAATAAAATCTTGATGCAATAGGTAGTGCTCCCATTGCTTGAGGGCACACACAACGGCGTATAGTTCTTATTCCTTGACACTCCATTTCTTGCGGGCAGGGTAGAACTTTTCACTAAAATATTCTATAAGTCTGTTTTGCTTCATCAAGATGGCGCCAATTCAAGTTGCTAACGCATCTGTTTCGATAGTGAACGGCTTTTCAAAGTCTGGAAGTGCAAGCACCATAGCTGATGAAAGCTTAGCTTTGACAGCTTCAAAATTGAGCTGTTGAGCCTCCATCCATGAGAACTACTTGGACTTCAAGCAATCGGTTAAAGGAGAAGCCAATATGCTGAAGCCCCTTATGAAACGTCGATAGAAATTTGCCAACCCATGAAAACTCCTCACATTGAAGAACAATTGGGGATTTGGCCACTCATAAATGGACTTAATCTTTTGCGGATCAACTTTCACACCACCTACATTGATAATAAAGCCCAAAAAATACACAATATAGGTGGTGAATTCACACTTGGGTAAATTTAGATACAACTTTTTGGATTGTAAAATTTCAAAAACTTGTTGGAGGTGTTATAAGTGGTTGGCTAATGATGTGCTGAAGACCAAGATATCGTCAAAATATATGACACAGGACTTATTTAGACATGGTTTTAAAATCTCATTCATAAGCCTCATGAAAGTTGAACCGACATTGCACAGCCCAAAAGGCATAACTCACCATTCATATAGACCTTGACAAGTTTTAAAAGCGGTCTTCCATTCGTCGTTGGGCGGAAGGTCAAGCTTTGAAAAAATAGATGCCTGGATAATTTCACTAGTAGCTCGTCAATTCTAGGCTCAAGAAATCTAAATTTGATCGTAATCTTGTTGATGGCTCTGCTGCCCATACACATGCGCCAAGACCCATCCTTCTTTGGTACTAATAGTGTGGGGACTACACACGGGCTGAGACTCGGTTGTATTAATTGTTTCTCCAATAAGTCATCTACGAGCTCTTGAAGTATAGCATGATCTTTGGGACTCAACCGGTAGTGCCACATATTCGAATCGTAGCTCCCGGTATCAAATCAATTTGATGTTGAAGAGCTATGAGAGGAGGTAAAGATGCTGGTAAGGTTGTAGGTCCTATGTCTGCAAATCGGCAAAGAAGTTGTTGCACCTCAAGTGGGGCATCATTTTGAAATTTTGTTGTGGAATGCTCTCTAATAACCAAAACCAACAAAGTTGAAGTCTCATGGCTAGAGTGAATAAGAGCAGATCCGAACACCATTTGCATCACGGTTGGCTTGCCACTTGATGGCCCAATGTGTTCAGTGAGATATGGCAGCAATTTGAGGCGTCTTACTTTCCAATCAAAGGAATAAGAATTTGACCTCCCATCATAGATGACCCCTACATCAAACTGCAAAGGTCGCCCCAAGATGATTTGACATACATCCATATCAAGAATGTCATATAAGACCTCACAAACGTAATGCTTACCGATGGAAAATGTGACTTGGCACATTTCAGAGACCATGATATCCATCCCTTTTTTCACCAAACTGATTTTGTATGGACTAGGATTTTTAGTATTCTTTAGCTGTAGGGCTTGCACAACCGAACGGGCAATGACATTTTTCAGTGCACCCGCTATCAATTAGTAGATCACACACCTTCCCATTGATAATGCACCTAGTTTTAAAGACAACATTTCTTTAGGAAGTGGGTTGCTGCCGAGGCGCTAATAGCATTTTTCCATGACACAGAACAGTGGGTCTCCAACATCCGACATAACTTCTTCAACCACTAGGTTCAGATCCTCCTCTTCAGCTAGCACCTCTTCCCCATTAACTGTGGTGAGTTGTAACTGTGGTCGGTTAGGAGACTCATTCGATTTGTGACCCAATTGAAAACATCAAAAACATGTGATTATAGTGGGTCAAGCATAAGGATTCTCCCGCATTGGCGCCTTCAATTTGGGTTGCACTCCTATGTCTTCAGGTGGCCTCGCCAATGGCCCAGGTTGAGAAATATAGGATGAATTAATTGGAGTTTGATTATCGGTTGGAACTGTACTAACCAGAATAACATGCTTACCACTTTCTGGACGGATGTTGTTTTTATCCCCGAGACAATTGAATTTTAGCCTTTAAAGCAAAATTAATTGCTTGCAATAGAGACCAAACTGAATTCAGTTCGAGGTTGTCTTGAATGGCATCCTTAAGTCCCCCAATATAGCGAGCAATAATTTGAGTGGTGTTCTCATTAAGATTATTCAGAGCACTGAGGCGATAAAATTCTTTCGTGTATTCATTCACAGTCCTTGTTCCCTGACTGCAGTGTTGGTACTTAAGGTACAACATCTGTTCATAATCCGTGGGTAGGAAAGTGTGAACGGAGCAGTTGCTTCATCCGGTGCCAGTTGCGAACCGGAGCGGATTTCCATGTATTAAAAAAATGTTTCCACCGACCTCTCCCAATCCAGGTAATCAACAATATGCAATCAACCATCAAAAAAAGGAATGTCGAGTTTTACCCAAAATTCTCCTTGAGGTCGTCCCTTCTTAGCTCCCCCACGTTGACGATTGAAATGGATTGGTAATGTTTCGCCCTCCAATTCGGATGGTATATCCTCATTGAAATATTATGCATCATCTTCCTCTGACTCGTTGACTTTGGAGACAATGGGCGCATGCCGTCCATGCCCCCGATCCCAATCTCGGTCGCATGTACCCACTACTAGAGGTTGCACCCGGGTGGGACGATGACCTCCCATTTCATTTCTGATAGCTTGAAATTGCTGGCGCATATCAACAGAAAGCCTAAACATACCAGAGGCTACCTCATCCATCCACTGATTAAGGCTATTGTGGGCTTCCCATAGTGCATCAAGATTGTGATCGTCATTGCCAGTCCCTCGTCTACTGTCATTGGCCATTCCTCAAAGCACCAAGCTCTGATATCAAAATCTGATGTAGGTAATCGGGAGAGGAAGCTTCCAGCAAGTAACAAATATAACAATAACAATAACAGGGTAAAGAATGCTTAGCAACAAACTATATAGTGTATTTCTTCTTGTATGAAAAACCTCCAAAGCAATACAGCTATTTATATAAGGCTAAAGGACTAGTAATAGCAAAGCTGACAAAAAGCTAAATCATACTAGCAGCCCCTAAAAGGGAAATGCAAGTAGTAGATAGTCAACTAATAAAGCAATGATAAGACTAAAGCATAACCGAATGATATAGTACTCCCTGTGGCTTAAGAAGTTCTGCATCAACGAGTCTAGAGAACTAGAGACTTCAAGTGACTTTCACATACCTTTAAGGTCAGAAGTTCAAGCTGAAAAGAGAATAAGATTGTATATATCAAGCACTATTTAGTTCCTCCATTAGTGCGAGCTTCATGCGTTAGGCATGAGCTTAAGGCATAAAATAATAGCACACAAACAAAAGCTACATAAAATGAAATCAAATGCAAACTAACAATCAACATTAAATATAAATTATCCATAACAAGCCATAACTATGTACATCAAGCTTAGTCCATAAAAACCTAAGACTAATACTGCAATGGACAAAACAAAGCCTAAAAAGTATTCAGGTCATTGGATGAATGACACATGGTGTTCACATGCCACATACTACCACATGTCACCCATCCAATGATCCTGAAGATTCTCCACGGCTTCTTATTTTACTAGCAAAGCATTTCTCACTCTACAAGCTACAAATGGATTACATACTAGTCTCCATCAGCATAAACTGCAATATATGACATAAGAACAGAACCAATCCAAAGCTTGCCATCTTTCTCTTCAACTTCACTGACTGCTCTCACTACCTTTCCTTGTCTATCTTCCAGAACTTTTAACAAGTTACCATCAGGTCCATACTTCATGATCAATGCGTGTAGCTTACCTCCCGTGTGTATCAGGTACTGTAACTTGGTTGGAATTGGGAGCTTCAGGAAAAATTTTCTTATCTTAGGATACATGGCAAAAAAATATGTAAACACTCGGCGACGACAGTGAATCGCCACCCAAAATTCACCATTCTCATTGGTTCTCAAGTTGTCAGGTGCACCAGGTACAATGGCAAAGAGTTCAGGTGTCCCAGCCTTTTCACCCTTGAGCCAGTATCTGGTTAACCTGCAGAGGATTCATTGGAAATATTGATGAGAGACAAAATTTGAGAAAAAAAAAAGTAACATTTTTGGAACATGGAGAAAAAGAAGACTTGCTTATTGCGTGAACTTTCGCAGAATACCAAGAAGGATCCATCTTTGCTTAGAGAGACACCATTTGGGAACTGAAGACCATGGAGGAGTACAGTTGTTTCCTTTGTAACAGGATTATATTTCAGTAGTCTTCCAGTTGGATCCCCAGTAAATATTGACTGTAGGAAATTTCTATAAAATTGAATTTTTTTTTGTTAGTAACATCTAAAAATAAGCCTATGTGCTCAGATAAGCAGATTAGAATACTTTATTGCATCCTAAAATGGCAGCAGATTGAAAAAACTCATGATAGTGAATTATTGTTGTATTTCTCAGTCCTGGCAATACAACTTAGGCTTCGTTTGAAGCGACTTTCTTGTTGCTTCTTAAAGCAGCTTTCTAGTATAAAATTTTTAATTTTTGTACTAAAAAAATATTTTAATAAGCAACAAAAAACTCGTCCCAAATGAAGCCTTAGTTTCATCTCCAAATTGACATTATGCATGGTCTCTGTAAGATGACTAGTTTGCCATTCCACCAGAACTGAATTTAGAAAAATAAAGAATTACTGGCCTGTAGCATAACACAATTTGCGGACATTAACATGCAATTTGATCTCATGCATCTCATATGAAGTAACACTGACAAAAAGCTAGCAACCAAAAAAATCTATGTAAATTCTACAACAAAATTGGACTACCCTATGATCCAGGTGGGGAATTTTCTACCCATAAAACATTATATAGAAAAATAAAATTAATAACGATATACTAAAAAGGAAAAGAAGTAAATATAAGATAAGCATGGACAAAATTTGTTCAGTACAAATTTAACATCTAATGCAGCCATCAATATGAATGACTAAAAAATGAGTATTCATAAAGCCAACCTCAAATATTTACAGGGCTAATTATGAAGACATACCTTCTATAATATGTGTTACTGCTGACAGTGAAATAAATATTTCCTTCTTCATCTATATCCAAGTCATTTGTGAACTTAAAGGGGTCACCCTCAGTCTCTGTGGTCAGTGATGTGGCCAAACCACCTTGGGGCCCAACCTTTAATAACCCAAAATATGCATCAGCAATATATAAGTCTCCAGTTTTCTTATCGAATCGAAGACCCAATGGCCTACCACATATATGCTCATTCTCCACATAACTTAAGGCTGATGGTTTTGGATCACATATAGCGGACCTGCATATAACATGGAAGTCCAAGACATAGAAAGATAGTTAAAAGGTGAAAAAGGACAAAAAAATAAAAATATAAAAAAAATCTTCCGACATGGCATAACCGAAATAGCGAGAGATTAATACATTAGATGTACACATTGTTTTATGAATATTAGTCATGGCATGCATCTAGTGAGATAAACCATAGATTTTGTAAGCTAGTTGGTGAGATAGAATAGCAGTAATGTGAAACATGTAGGAGTTATTTGAGAAATTATAACGATTAATTGACCAAAACGTACCAATATAGAATTATTGCTTGCAATAAAGATAGATTTCGGAATTCAAAATTTTTAACTTGCTTAGGCAAAGAAGTGCTATTGAGATTAGCCAAACAATTTAATCAAAAAATCCAAAACAATAGTAAATGTTACATGCTCATAACAAAACCCAACACTTAATAACGAGAAGTTCACCTTGAGCACCTTCTCACTCTTCCACTCTTAGGCTTTAGCGGAGAAAGACGAACCCTATAAGGAAGGAGATTACCACTAGGAAGATGGCGCCGAAGACCTTTGTTGGTGGAGAAGTAGCCGGCGGTGGAGGAGGTGGCGGGTAACCAATGATGAGCCAAGGCGTCTTGGGTTTTTGAAGATCAATCGTCCCCGCTAAACAGTAGAGGATGCGATTGACGTAGTCTTCAACCGATCCGTCGTACTCCCAGTCGGGCTCATAGAAAGGGGAGCAGAGAATGTCGATTTCCCCGAGGGTGTTGTAAGCGAGGCCATGATCAACCTCATGATTGGCCATGCACCAATGGCAATCAGGTTGTGAAATGAGGACGCCTTCTTCTCTTGGCTTCAATTCTCATGAGCAAACTAGGGTTTCCCAAGAGAGAGGATGCAAGGGAAAGGGGGCAGCCAAAGTGGGGAGAAGGGGGAAGGGCGGTTGGGTGAGGGCTTGAATTAGGTTAGAAAAGGGGAGAGGAAATTTAATCAAAATATGAAATTAATTTTAGATTTTTAAGTGGATTTGGTAGGATTTAATTTGAATTTTGAATTCAAATTAAAGTGGGATTGGGAGCTTTAATGGGAATTAATGGGGAAGCCACCAATGAAGGGCCGGTGGCATTGAGAGGAGGGAGGGGGTTGTGGGGAGAGTTTTATGAGTTTCCAAAACAACACATGGGAATTAAGAAAGATATCATGAAATCCAATTTAATTTGAATTTCAAATAGACTTGAATTTTTGCTTTTTCCTAATTAAGATTTGCAAATAAGACAAGTTTTTGAAATTTGAATTTCAAATTTCAATTTGAGGTAATTACTTTCCTTTTCTCTTGGAGCTAAATTAGGAAGGGAGTTATGATGATTGAAATCATCATAATGGAAGGGTTTAATAGGTGGGCCGGTGGTGGGGTTTGAAGAGAAGGTTTCGGCCGGCGGTTAGGAGGTCTTGGCCGGCGGTGGGGATGGGTAAGGGTTTAGCGTCAAAGGTTTTGAGGATGGCGTGAAGGTGACCGATGGATTGGGTAGAGAGGTATGTGGCCGACGGCTTGGAAGGAAGCTAGGGGTTGGCGGGTGGAGGAAGGAAGAAAGGGAAAGAAAGAGATAGACCACGAGCCACGGACTCTTCTAATGACTGGTGGGTATTGCGCTCGCCCTTATCTCGGGCTCTCTCTCTTCTCTCTAGTGCACACACAAGATGAAGAAGACAAACACAAAATTTTCATTCAAATATTCATCATCCTTTTACAAAGCATAAGGCCACTATATATAAGCCTCCAACATAAATAAAAGAAAAGTACACAAATGCCCTTAAAGCTACAATAAGAAAACACTCCCCATAGGGGTAAACTCGGAAAAACTGAAAATAAAATAAAACACATCAAAAGTAAAGACTATGAATTGTGGCCGTCGATCTACGATCTCTTCGCCGGTACACGTGTCAGAATATCTGAGTGATTTCCTCATCAAGCAGTCTTCTAGCTTGGACCATAAGAAGAGTATGTAAGATTTCTCCATTATTCATTAAGGAGAGGAGCATCTCTACACAGTTGTGGTTGAAGGAGAGAGTGATGAATCCTTGGGATGGAGATCTCAAGACGCGGCGTAGACATTAATGCCTAATCACGTAAAAATTGCTTTGTAACTTCTTCTCATTTACTCTTAATTTACTCACTATTATTACTTTCTTTTCTTGATCTCTAGTACTATAGATAATGTGTTTGATGATGATTTAGTTTCTTTTAATTTAAAATTTCTATTTCTAATAAAGTTTATATTTACTTATATCACCTAAAAAATAAATAAAATACTATTTAAAATTTAAAATAAAAAAATGAGAATTTTAAATTTAAGACTCACCTATTCATCCCCTCTTAAGTGTGTCCATACATTTTAATTGGTATTAAATAATGTTTCTTTGTGAATGGTTTCATCACTTCAAGTAGATCCTACAATGGCATACATCAGAAACTATAGCACTCGATGTGGTATAATATTATATGCCCTCCCTTATTCAATAATATATCATTTGATTTTTAGAAGTTTGCATGGCTAATTTTACTCTATCGATAAATTATCACATGTGGAACATGGTCATGAAGGACATGCACCTCCATACAAAATAAATAGTGGAAAGAGTGTATACATCCCATTTGATTATTGGACATTAGAAGAAAAAGAACTACTAGAATTTAACTCCAAATATTTGAATTAATTTTTCTATGCTCTAATACCTGAAGATTACATGTATATATCCACTTATAAAATGGGAAAGAAGATCTAAGATATACTTTGCATTATTTATGAGAGGACTAACAAGATGAAATAAAATGAATCAATTTACTCATGTAAAGTTATAAACTATCCTACCTGCAAACAAATGAAAGCATTACTAATATATACACTCACTTCACCAAAATTTTATTTCTTCGCATGTTTTGAGTAAATAATATACTTAGTCTAAAAATGTGAACAAGATTCTTAGGTGTTACTAAAATATCAAGATGTCAAAGTTACCATTATTTCTGAATTAAAGAGTTATCTATTTACTCCTTTGATATTTTATTTGGTTCACTAATAATGTATAAATAAAAAGTTAATAAGATAAATATAAATACATTAAATAAGAAGAAAGAACGGATCATCACACTGATAGTAGAAAAATTAGAGGACAACTTGCCAAAAAAATCTAATAATAATGATAAAGTGGCACTGCTAAGTCAAAAATTCAAATTATTCTTGAAAGAGAAAAAGAATAAGTGACACAACAACAACAACAACATTAAGTATTTATTCTACTATGTGAGGTCGACTATATGAATCTTTTTTTTTCTCTATTGTATCATGTTAAGGGTCAATTTCTCATTTAAATCTAATAAAAAAATATCATTTCTAAATTTTTTAACCAATTCTTTTTAGGTCTACATCTACATTTCTTAACATAGGTTAAATCTAATACATCTACTCTCCTAACCGGGTTATTAGAAGACCATCATTTTATGTGACCAAATCATCTATGTCGACTCTCAAATCTTATCTGCCATTGGAGCTACTCCAACCTTTTCACGTATATGCTTATTTTGCATTTTGTCTCTATGAGTGAAGACACTCATTCACTTGAGCATCCTCATATCTGCAACACTTAACTCAATTTTATGCTTATCTTTTAATAACATAGTAGGACCCTTTCCTATCGCCACAGGTTAACGGAAGTTCATCATCTTAGCTGTAGACTATTTTACCAAGTGGGTGGAGGCCGAAACTCTAGCAAAAATCACCGAAGCAAATGTCAAACAGTTCCTATGGAAGAACATAATATATCATTTTGACATTCCCGCAAAAGTTATCACTGATAATAGAACGCAGTTCACTGAAAGGGTCTTCACCACATTTTACAAAGATCTCCATATTCAGCTATTGCACACGGTTGTGACCCATCCTCAGACTAATGGACAAATGAAAGTCACTAATCGGACTATTCTGAAGGGATTGAAGACACGGCTGGAGAAGGCAGTTATTCCCATTGTACGAACTCCCAAATATACTCTAGGCCTATCGTACCACGACAAGAACTCCAACATGAGAAACCCCATACAATCTCTGCTTTGGCACAGAAGCTGTTATTCCCGTTGACATTGGAGTCTCTAGTCATAGAGTTCAAACTTTTGACTTCAACGACAATAAAGAAAAACTCAGGTACAGTCTAGACCTCCTTTCAGAAGCAAGAGATGAGGCGATAATCAAGGTTGTTGTGCATCACCAAAGAGTTACCCGTCACTATAACCGAAGAATGAAACCACAGCGTATATCAATTGAAGATCTAGTTCTGCACACCATCGAGGCAGCAGAAAAAGACTCTCAATGAAATAAACTCTCCCCCCTCTGGGAGGGTCCATACTTAGTGGCAGCTATGGTGAAGCCCGGGACTTTCAAATTGAAGGATGCTGAGGGAAAGATGCTTCCTTGGACCTGAAATGTAGATAGTCTCCGTAAGTACTATCAGTAGAGCATAGTAGTGTTACTTGTTTTAAGTGTTATATGTCTATAGTATTGTGTGTCTTCAGTATTGTACGTCTCCAGTATTGAACGTTGCTTGTCTCCTGTTTGTTTGTGATGTTCATCCCTGAGTTATCTCAAGGAAGTATGCCCTTGTTTATATAGTAAAACTATGTTCATTCATTAAGTTACATTGTTATATTCTTCAAGTAAAACCGTATTGATAGATTCACACAAGCTGTGAACTTCAATCTTGAAATTCTTGATTCAAGCAACACACGATCATTATTATAACTCAATCCCAGGGGGATTTAATCTAACGTCTTCCACACAGGTTAAAAATCATTAAATAATGCTTCAATCAATAGCATTGGATAGGTCAAATACCCTAGATGGGTGTCACTCTTTGTTGCACCTCAATCACTGGATGATTAATCCCAGCGGGATTCGATCTGACCTCTTCCACACAGGCTAACACCATCGAAAAACCTCTAGCAAAAAACCTCGGATAGGTAGCACAT